TCTCACTCTGTCGCCCAGACTGGAGTGCAGTGACCGCTCCCGGCCACCGCCGCCTTGACCTGCTGGGCTCCGGCGATCCTTCCGCCTCAGTCTTCCAAGTAGCTGGAACTACAGGGCGCACGCTACCACGCCCAGCTATTTTTTGATTTATTGTAGAGATGAGGTCTCGCCAAGTTGCCCAGGTGGGTCTCAAACCCGCGGGCTCAGGCAATTCACTCACCTTGGCCTCCCAAAGCGTGGGATTACAAGCTGAGCCACCGAACCCAGCCAGCCCCAAACTTTTTAAAGCAGTAGACAATTTCACCTTTTAATCTGTGGAATCCCAATTACATAAATAAGACTGGGATTACTCTGTTGAAAGCAAGTGTGGAAAGCCAAGAACGTGACTGCTTCCTTCCCCCTACCTCCTGACCTCAGAGGTGTCCCTGAAAAAACCTCTAAAAAGTCTAAGACTCCACGAGATCATTTGAAAACCACCAGGCTGGCCGATAAAGAGGATGACAGAGTGACGCTAGCTTCTATTTACTAAGCATTTACTATGTCTGAGGCGTTACACTTAGTGCTTTATCTCGTGAGAGCCTCACAACCATTTTGAAAATTCATAATTAGCCAGGAGAGGTGGCTCATGCCTGTAAACCCAGCACTGGGAGGCAGAGGCGAGAGGACTGCCTGAGCCCAGGAGTTTGAGACTAGCTTGGGCAACTTGGCGAGACCTCGTCTCTACAATAGATCAAAAAAATTAGCTGGGCTCACGTGATGGCACGCACCTGAGGTTCCAGCCACTTGGAAGGCTGAGACGGAAGGATCTCCTGAGCCCAGCAGGTTGAGGCTGCGGGGACTGTGAGTGTGCCACTACACTCCAGCCTGGGTGACAGAGTAAGACTCTGACTCAAGAAAAAAAAAAAATAAGAAAATACATAATTATCTCCTTTCATAAATGAAGAGACCAGGGCTTAACTTTCTCACTTGCCCAGAGCCACTCAGCAAGGAAATCAGGCTTTGAATCTGAGTAGGGATTAACTGCCACACTGTGCCGTTAGGATCCCTTCCAGGGGCAAATCCCTCATCCTAACTGGGGGAGGGTGGTGGAGACTTGAAGGAGGAGAGATGGAGAAAAAGAGAAAGCAGAGGGAACTAAGGAGGATGAGAGAGACGGGGGCAAAAGCGGGGTTAGCAAGCTGGAGTCAAAAGCCAGGAGAGGGGAGAGGAAGCTGAAGGGCCAGAAGGCCAAGGGGAGGAAGAAAGGAAGAGGGTGGGGGAGGGGTGGGAGGAGAGGGGAGGAGGAACAAGCAGGGTGCAGGGCTGCACCCCCCTTTTGGGGGAGGTCGTGGGGGAATGGGTCGGCCAGTGGTTCTCCTGGGATCTCTCAGTTCGTGTTTCCCATGACATCCCTCTCTCAGATGGGGCAGGATGGAATGAAAACTCCCTGGGTCTCCCCCAACCCAGGAACCCCAAGTCTTCCTGTCTCATTTTCAGGGCTCTCCCAGGCCTCTCCCAGGCTTCTCCCAGGACACAGAGGCCCCATCCCTGGACCTTTTTGCTCCAAAACCCTCCTCCTTTCTACTCCTCCCAGTCCAGTCCCTACCCCCCCAGCTATTTTCTCCCAAAGGCAGAATCCTTCCCCCTCCAGCTCAGGGTCTTCCATCAGGTCTTTCTCTAACACCCCAGCATGGGATGGAGCACCTTTTGAAGCCATGTTCAGTCTGTGTTTCAATTTCAAGGGAGGACTTGTCGCCCCCACGCCGCCCTAGAGCAGCCCCCCTTCCTCAATATCCCCTTATGAGCCACCTCCTGGCATGGCCCTGGCTAGAAATATTCAACCTGCTCCTTCCTCGCCAGGCATCAGGAGGCCACGTTTCTCCCCACCGCAATCTCACAACAAAGCTAGCCTGGCCTGCCCTAGCTAGGCCAGGGCCTGGCCAGGCCAGGGGCACCCTTTGCCTTCAGCCCCCTGAAGGGGGCAGGGAGGGAGGAGCCAAGGCCTGAGGAGGCGGGGCCGGGTTCCCTCCCAAACCGGGAAGGGAAGGCCGGACGTCTTGGATCCTTGTTGTCAGCTTGATGGCCTAAACCGGATCATCCCAGCCCCTACTTTCTCAGAGTCTTCTGACCGTGGGACCACAGGATCAAAAGTCAAAAGCGCTTCTCTGATTGCCCAATGTGTGTTATGCGGCAGGGGTGGGAAATTAAGGAGGCTGGGGGGACAGGGAGGCGGGGCCAGTTCAGCACGAGGAGGGTTAACTTGGTGAGGCCGGGAAAATCTCAGCGTCTGCAGCAGCCAAGCGTGGATGGAGTAGTTTTGAGGGGGAAATTCCCCCTCCTCTGGGGCACCATGAGGTCTACATCTGGGGCTCACTCACCCCCAGCCACACCCTTGAACAAAAATCTTTGCCGGGGGACAGAAGAGGGGCTTAACAGGGACCTACGGCTCCCCATTCACCTTCTAGGGAGGGGCAGCCACTTTCCCCACCCAGAGGGCAGAGGGGCACACCTCACCTCCTTTCCCTGACTTCCATGCCCCTGGAGGTACAGGGGTGGGGGTGTGAACACGTAATCTGTGGGGGAGGGGACTGCTGCGGCCTGTACCCCTACCCAAGATTCCTCCGAGAGTTCAATACTGCCAAAACTCAGCACCGTCAGCTACCAACACTAGCCAAAACAGTTTCTTGGGGACCAGCCACCCAGCCCAGGGGAGGGTCCAGAAAGGCCCCTCTAGCCCACCCCCCACACACAGTCCAAGCCCCCGACCCTCCCTCCTTGGAGGCAACCCCTCACCTTGGCAACCCCTGGGCTGTCTTCTCCCTCTCTCAGCGGGCACGGCCAGGCCCCATGGGTCTGTGGCTCTGTCCAGCGAGCTCAAGGTTGGACTTGCTGGCACCCCCACCCCCACCCCCACCAAAAAGAAACAAAAATAAAACACTCTCGCACACACAAACACACACGCGCGCACGCGCGCGCACACACACACACACACACACACACACACACACTCCTCTCCTGGCCTTCCTCCTCAGTGTAAGCAGTGGCTGCCCCAGCCCGCTGTTTCCGGCTTCTCTTTCTACCCAGGTCCCTCCCTGGAGCGCTGACGACACAGAGAAGAGAAAGTGGGCTGGAGGAGGAAGAGGAAGAAAGTGGGGTGAATGCGTGTGCCTCCTGTGTCCGTGGGGGACCATGTGAGGGGTCACGACTGGGGTCCAGGCCCCGGAACAAGGCTGGAGGGGAGGCCGACCCCTACCTACTCTGGCCCCCTTGAAAGTGGTAACTTTTCTCCAGAAAGTCACCTAATATCAAACAGAGCCACACCACCCCAAAGTGCCTGGTCCCCCTACTCCAACTCAGGCTAGGGTTGGGGTTTGGGCCCAGGAGGGACTGGGCTTTCCGGGTCCTCAGGAAATCCCTCTGGACTCTGCGCTCCCTCCAGCGGGAGACCCTGGAAAGCAGCCGGGAGCTTGACGCCGGCTGGAACTCCTTGGTCCTCCTTCCTTCTCGGCCGGGAACGCCTTAGAGGTCGCGTGACCATGGAGGAGACAGTGGGGGAGGGGAGCCCTCGGCTCCTAGTTCTGGAAGACTCCAGGAGTCCCCTGGACGGAAGCCAGTCTTAGCCCTCTCCTCATGGGGCATCTCAGACCCTGGTGGAAGCATGCACGAGCTGGAGCTGCTGCCTGCACGTTCAACAAGGGGCAAGTTTGAATATGAATCTGCTGGCGAAGTTCCTATCTGTTTCTGGGGTAAACACTGAGACACGCCCAGAAACAAACACTCACATGCACAATTCCCTGGCCACAAAACTACACACACACACACACACACACACACACACACACACACACACACACACAGGTGCAGGCAGGCTCACACGCATGTCGGCACTCAGAGCCACTTGCGATCAAGACACCACACACACACACACACACACACACACACACGTCTTGCTCAGCTTCTGAGTCATCATCGTAACTAGACTCGTGGATGCAGCTTTTGCTGGGGGAGGAACTGGAGGAGACCGAGGAACCCAGAGAGCCCTTTACACCCCCAAACTTGAGAGCCCTGGTGTGTGGAAAGAGTGGAGTCTGAGAGGCGGTGGGAGGTGAGAGGTTTCCATTCCCCTCCACTCCCTTAACAAGGCTGGGCCGAGGGGCCAAAGCTCAGCCTCTGCTGCCCCCTGGTGCCCAAACTGATCCCCAGAACCCAGCTCCTCCCCGCCCCCCCTCGGAGCTGGCAGGTCGGTGCAGGCAGGAGTGTGTGTGTGTGTGTGTGTGTGTGTGTGTGTGTGTGTGTGTGAGTGTGTGTGAGTGTGGATGTGTGTATTTTATACGTGAGTGAAGATAATCATTGGGGGGGTGTTCGAGAGGTAGTTATTCATTTCGAAAGCTTAATATAGTTTTAGCTTGAATTTCTAGTCTAGTCATCAGGTGAAAATCAGTGCTTTTCTAGTGATTTTAGATTCACACAAAACA